GTTTCAGGGTCAAACACTAACTTGGCTGCAAAAGCAGAAAAAGCATATTAATGGAAAATAAGGGTTTGGAAAGTAATGTAACTAACATTACTGTAACCACCTGCAGGACCAGTTCCCCTTGTGTTTTTAGCTTGCTCTGGCACTGGTCCGAGATGCATTTTTTGAAGTAAGAGAAATATATGATCAACATATTACAGCAGTGTTCAATTTGTTTTAGTTGTTTATTTTCAAGGCAGCAATGGCCACCGTTTTATTTCATTGCAGTCTGCTGTTATAGGCCACTTTTGGTTTTAAAAGATTTGGGATAAAAAGAAATGTCAAGGTGCATAAAGGTAATTTTTGTCTTACCCTCCATCCTCCTGAAATCCCTCCAGTTCATCTTTCTGCTCTGCCAGCGTAGACTCCAAATCCAAATAACTTCCATTATGGGACAGCTGGAGGGCACAGTCATCAGGCTAAACATGGAAAAATAAAGCAGAAGTTCAAGTCTGAATTTCACTCCATTCTGGGGTTGTTTTTTTTTTTTTTTGCAACAACAAAAAAAATCTCACATGGTTGTTCAGTTATATGAGAGATAGATACCCATTAACCAATCTTTAGACACTTCGGAACAAACCTTTAATATTTTTTTATAAAAGTTTTACATCGTGTTGAGTCTAGACTGCAGAAAGTTTTCCTCTCCACCCTTGTCAGAGCTCTCCAGTGACAAGCGGAACACAACTGTGGAGAAGTTGAAGAGATATGGAGCTGCGTGGTCGTCTGGTGCCTCTTATCTTGCTGCTCTCCGTGGCTGATAAACTATCATTGCATACAGTGATTTTGCAGTGGAGGTATGATTTGTCTGCTCCTGAATTGCTGTCATCACCTGACTCTGGTCAAGGAGATGAAGAATGAGAGCGTCTGTTCGCTTGTCTGCTTGACCTCTAAATTGGAGATATTAACCTATTTATACTCAGGGTCTGCCAGCTCCACGGGACACCGGCTCCAACGGTGAAGCATAAGACAGAAAAACAAATACCATTAAAAGAGGCCAAACTGATGACTTCAGGACCGACTGGCCCTGCTCTACTCCACCAATTATCTTTATCTTAAACAACATACTGTATACTAATATATCCCTTTTTGCCAGTCCTCGCTTAGCCCGGTAACATTGCTATAATATATTTGCATATTCCACACAAACAACCTGCAAGATTTTCATCCCTAAAGCAATGGTTTAGATCTTTTGAAGTGGAGTTTTGTGGAACACGTGAACAATTAAATACTTTATCCTTCTAAATGGCTCTTTGATTGATAAGATTTGGAGAAATGCATATTAGTTCGGACTGGACTGATGAGCTAATGACTAGGCCAAGTAGGACCATGACCACAGGGAATTATTAGCTTCTTACAACAGTTCGAATTTCAACATTAACGTGTGGCATGGAGGCTGCACAGCTGCAGAAAGAAAAGCTTTGTAGAGAGTGGTGAAGGCTGCACAGAAGTCTGTTGGAGTCAATCTCCCCATCATCACAGACATCTACACTTCCAGATGCAGGAAGAGAGCCACCTGCATCATGAAGGACCCCACTCACCCAGCACACACACTTTTTCCTCTCAGGAAGAAGGTTGAGGAGCATTCAATGTAGAGCCACTAGACTGAGGAACAGCTTCTACCCTGAAACTGTTAGACTCGTGAATCTCTAACCAGAATAATCACTGTAAAAAAAAAATCACATCATGCTGCTGATCTGTTTCATGTTGCTGCTGATCTGTTTCATGTTGCTGTGTTCATTCGTGCTCATCTGCTCACTCAGACTCATGTCCGTGCTGCTGATCAACATGTTGTTTTTATGCTATTATTACTTAGTGTAATTTTAGTTAACATTTTTCTTAGTTCATATCTTAGATTTTGTTACAGTTTTTTCTTTTAATACTTTGCTGGATGTAACTGGGACCCCGTGTACACAATGTCATTCCACCACATGTACCACATGTGGTGCAAATGACAAATAAAAAATCTTGAATCTTTAATTTCTAAATACGTTTTTGTAGTTCATATAATCTCTGTATCTTGAACTGTCGTATCACCATCAATTTTGCACTGCACCTTTAAAATTCTATAATTATTAGAACAAATAGCAACAGCTAGCTGTAGCGCTTCTGGTTTAGCCTGGGATACTTCCAACAGGTGCATCATAATACTGACAGAGTTACCACACTGAGTGAAATTGGCAGTAATGTACAACTTGAAGTCATTTTTGAACGAACTGCTGCGAAATTTGATATTGGAGTTTTAAGACAGCAGCAATCCACCTAGATCTTGGCCCCGTTTGGACTACTCCCGTGCTCATCAATACAATCAGAATTAAACTAATTTCCCAAACTAAGATTGCTCAAAGTGCTATCTACAACAGGTAAGATATTAAATGTACATAACCCTTCCATAGAACCTCGCTTCAAAAGACCCCTTTAGTCAGCAACACATGTAAAACATGCATTTTTGAAATCAAACCATTTATTTCCAGAACTGATGCACTTCCACTTCCTTGCACTCGCACGACAGTAACTTAATTAAATGTGAAGGAAAAACACTAGGAGGGACATTATGGCTTTGATGTGCTCACCCACCCTGTTTGTATTACTGCGCTCCACAGCACTCAGGGACTGTGTCATATTTAAGAACTGAAACAAAACATGTGGCTAGTTAGGATAACTCTTACTCTCCCTCCAACTCATTTTTCAACTCTAGGCGACGTCTTTCCATGCCTGGTTAAACAAAAGATTAGTGGTGATTAAACGAAAAAAAATCTGAAATATTTTTGTGGAGGATGAGTCAAAACAACAGACACAGACATTCTGTGATCTCTGAGATAAGTTTAGATTGTTGCTGATGTTCTTAAGGTAAGAGACAGAAAAGGAGACAAAGAAAGACAAGAATAGAAAACAAATATAATGTTATCGTACACAGCCAAAGGCAGGAAGAGAGTGATTCTACAGATTATAGGGCAAATTCTTACAGGAAGTCCTAGCATTGTGGCCAAGTTAAGCGTACAGTGTTTATGCATAATATGATGTCATACCTTTAAAAAGAAATGATGACAATAATATGCATTTTTGAAAACATGAAATGGACTTTTGCCCATATTTTACTAAGATATCTTTTGAAGGAATGGCAATATATTGGTTAGTTATTGGTATTAATCCCACAGTTTAAAGAAAAAAAGTTGAATAAATAAAAGAAATGTAGGAAAAAGCTGCAAAATTTCTTGGTAGACTTTTACGATGATGCAGGTATATTGTTGTAATTTAATATATTTAAACTTATTCAATTTATACTTTTTAGTGTTAATTCAACTTTTTAACTAAGGCTGAGTTTGATTCATTTTAGTAAAACAAAACTTCATGGGAAAAAAAAAATCAGTGGTATTTTTTCAGATTTGTTTAAAGTTACGTATGAGTTAAACAATTCAATAACACAAAACTGAATTATGTTGCACAAGCGAGTGCTTTTGTTACTCGTGTCAGTCTTGTTGAATGTGTGAAAATATGCATGAGATAATAAGACATAATACAAACACCAGCATCTTCACTAACGTTTATAGGTGCACCATTGAGAGCCTGCTGACTGCTGCATCACAGGGTGGTACGGGAACTGCACCAGTCAGAAAGCGCTACAGAGGATGTGCAAACAGCAGAGTCAGAGTCAGAGAGATTTATTTGTCATTCGCATCTCATGTGGTACATGTGGTGGAACGAAATTATGTACACAGGGTCCCAGTTACATCCAACAATAAAATGTAAAAGAAAAACAGTAATAAGATCTAAGATACGAACTAAGAGGACATCACTGGTAGCAGTCTCCACACCATCCAGGATACCTACCACAGCCCATGTCTGCATAAAGCATGCAGCCAGCATCATTAAAGACCACACCCACCCAGCACAAGTACTCTTCCATCTACTACCCTAAGGCAGACGATACAGGAGTCTGCCATCAAGCATGAAAAGACTCAAAGACAGTTATTATCCACAAGCTGCCAGATTACTGAACTCTTGATAATAACATTGCACTAAACCACATCTGTCACACCTAATATGACTAATATTAGCTGTGACAGCTAATCTGTTTATTGCTGCTGCACTATGTGACTGTATCATGTGTATCACTACCATCATAATTCAATTAACTACAATGTCACTCACTACCTGTGCACTTTATGTTAGTTATGTGCAATAAATATCAGGTGCTTATATTACTACTTGTGAAATACTTATTTATACAAAGTCATCCTACTTGAACCATTATATCCTGCCATGTTGTTGTTTACTATATTTCTTTTAGACCTTGTAAATATTATATTCCTTTTTCACTTTTTGGTACTTTATTTTTGTACCCTTATTGCATGCTATAGTATTTCTTGACTGTTTTTTTTTTTTTTTTTTGTTTGTTTTTTTTGCGAGTCGAATCAGTTCTTCTCATCCTGAACATTTCATTGTACTGTTGACCTTGTGTTAGCCGGCATATAACAGAAATAACATGACATAATAATAAAAATGACAAAGGACATATTAGTTTATTCAACAAATTATTTAAAATTAGTTCATTCTTCCAGTCATGAACCATCAGTTAAAAGGTTGACTCATTCCTAAATACTATGTTGAGCGTGAAACAAAATAAATGCCAAATTTAGTTGGAAATCGATAAATGTATTATTTGTTTTCATTCACCGTGTTATGTGTTAGGAGTGGCACGGTGGATCAGTGGTAGAGCTGTTGCCTCAGCGAGAAGGTCGCCAGATCAAATCCCAGCCTTTCAGGGTGGAGTTTGCATGTTCTCTCCGTGCATGTGTGGGTTTTCTCCAGGTACTCCAGTTTCCTCCCACAGACCAAAAACATGCATGTTAGGCTGATTGGTAACTCCAAATTGTCCCTAGGTGTGAGTGAGAGAGTGAATGGTTGTTTGTCTCGTTTGTCTCTATGTGATGAACTGGAGACCTGTCCAGGGTGTCTCCCGCATCTCAGTGATGGCTGGATATGGGCACCAGTGACCCCTGAGACCCGAAAAGGAAGAAGTGGGTAAAGATCATGGATGGATGGATGGATGGATGGATGGATGGATGGATGGATGGATGGATGGATGGATGGATGGATGGATGGATGGATGGATTA